GGGGGGGGGGGGGGGGGCTTGCTCTGCCATCCTGGATCCCAGTGAGGCATTATCAGGTTGTGTTCTAGGAACCCCAGTAACACTGGGCCTCTGGGGCCAGCCTTTTTGAGAGAGGGGACATTTGATTGCTGGGCTGGTAGATGAGATGCATGGGACAGTTCCCAGACACCCCAAAGCACCCTGTTCCCCCTCTCCCAGAAGTTTCTTAAGGCCACTCCCAGAACCTGATCCTTGTTCCTATATCCCAAGAAAACAACACGCTCTGTATTTTTGTTTTATTTAGAAATGATTTAAAAAACATTATACAAAGGCTGATCAGTTTAAAATGTGACCGACACTGAAATGCTGTGATATTCCCCGGGCCGAGGGGAAGCTGGGCTCTGGGGTCCCCAGTGCAGTGCCCCTTTGTCTGTCTGCCCTGTCCTGTGGTGATGGGCAAACAGATGACCACAAGACAGGAGAATCCGAGATTGGAAGCCTCCAGGCTGAGCCCTCTCTGGGCCTGGCCCTGCATCCCTCACATCTGCAGCCTGAGCTGCCTGCCTCCATCTCCTGCTCTTTCTCAGCTGGCCTTGGTAGTACCAGGAGCCAATGGGGAGCCTGGGGAGCCTAGAGCTTCCAAAAAGAGAGAGCACCAACCTGAGGAGTGGAGAGGGACCGGGAAGGGGAGAAGGGAGGCCAGGAAAAGATGGATAAAAGAGACACTTCTGATCTCATCTTGGACCCTAGAGGGGTCCATAGGTGGGGACCCAAGGCCCAGCCAGCCCACCCGATGGCCTGGGCAAGAAACAATCTCTCTGTGCTTCATTTGAGGGCACGGTGAGAGTTACCCTAGGCTTCCCAGGGCCTACACGAGTTTCATGTGAGTGGACAGGTATGAGCTAATAAAGTGCTTTGCAAAGTATAAAACACTATACAAACCTATGAATCACTAATATCTCTGCAGTTGTTCCCCACCCACCCCAGGGAGCCCGCCCTTGGTCAAAATGAGAAAAGACAGAAGGATGATGCCCGGGAACATAGTGGACCCACATAGGTGCCTCTGGGACAAGAGAGATTTTGCTCAAGACAGCTCCCAGGGCAATAGTAGTCCCTGTCTGCTACAGGTTAAGCCAACCCAAAGCCCAGAGGCCACAGGGTAGGGGCGAAGCCCATGCAGGCCCAGAGGGCCAGAGTGGCATCGGAGACTCTGCCAGCACCCTGAAGATGTACCACCTTTTGGCTTTGGCAGAGAGCCAGTGGGCATCACTGAACCCATTAGTCTTGCCTAGGGCTCTTCAGTGACAAACAGGGCTGCCTCTACTGGGTTGGAGTGAGGCAAGCTGAGCCCTAGGAATTCCAGAGACTGTGAAGGATGGGCCCCTAGGATTGGGACTGCAATGCAGGCAGATGGGCCCAGTGAGCAGGGTTAGCAAGGGCCAAGCTTGTATAAACACTGCTTCCAAGCTGAGAGATTGAGTTGGCCTCAGGGTAACTGGGGGTGTGGGCTCTGAACACTTGAGAAGGCTGCCCTGGGCCCATTACCCCCAAAGCCATGAGAATGTTGGCCTGGAGCCATTTCTGCCTCACCTAGCTAGTCAGGCTGAGCCCCAGGCCATAAGCAACAGGGCTGGGGACTGGGAGAATGGGGAGAGGGACAGAGAAGTGGAGGATAGTCAGAACTCAGATCAGCCTCCAGAGATGGGATCAGCTCCTGCCCCAGACCTTTAGCCTCATGAGCAGGTCCAGCTCCTGGGGTGTCTAGGCGCTAGAGTGGCCTTAGCAGCACCTTGGTCCTTGTCTCCTGGGGAAGGGCCGGCCACGCTGGCCTCATCACCAAGATAGTCACCTCTAATTCACCTAACGCCTCAAACAGCCTTTGCAGAATGGGACTTTTAAAACAGTAGTAACAGGACATTTAAATATTCACGACGTGACAGCTGGGTCCTTGTCAGACCCCGCTGGGCCACAACACTGCCTGCAACATGTGACCCTAAATCCTAGATCTCAAAGGAGACCCTGATGTGGAGCAGGTTTCCTGAGGGATCTGCTGTATGCCAGCAGTGGAAACCCGGGCTTGTTGCCCGCCATGTTGGCAGCAGGGGTCTTGTAGCCTTGGAGGACAGTGGGGTGGGGGCAGACATCTGACCAGCAGGTGTTGGCAAAGGGGGACCAGGATTGGTGGCATCTCCCAGAGGGGGCTGAGAGTGCTAGTGCTGGCTTCCACAGAAGGTGCTGGGTCCAGCCAGGAACAGAGCTGTGGTGCCTCATTGATAACCACAGGATGCAGTGACCACAGGGCCTCCTCCTGGCATGGTCCCTGCCTCCTGATGGGGCCTGGCCTATTCCCTTGCGTAGGGAGCAGTTCACCCAGGACAGAAGGCTGGCAACTGGCTGCCAGACACCCACCCTGGGGCACAGCCACCATCACTCCCTGCCTCATGCTCAGCCTAGGCCAATGTACCTACCACTTCAGCTGCACGACCCCTGGCCTAGGGCCCTTCTGGCCCCGGTGGGCAGTGGCCAGAGCTGCCCCTGAGACCCTGATGAGGAAGGGCCTGGCTGGCCAGACCGAGTGGACAGAGAGGGCTCTGGGCTGCTCACACCCACTCCTGGACTGGCCGCTTATAGTAGGTGACAGGCTGAGGGCCTGCCTTGTTCTTGAACTGGAAGATGGTGTAGACCAGCACCAGGATGCAGAGGGACAAGATGCAGGGGATGACCACAGCCACGGCATTCACAGAGCCTGGTACGTCATTGATGGTCACCATGATGTCCACATCGTCCTGGGGCAGCCGCCGCTCCTTCCGCCGTTCCACCTCCTTCTGGTTGCAGCCCATCCAGTCACGTAGGATGTTGCGTGGATAACCTGGCTCCACACTCAGTTTCTGGTTGTCAAACTTCCAGTAGTCCCGGCCCTTGTAGAAGTAGGTGTAATCTGCAGAAACATGGTCCAGCATCACTACTCCCAGGTACTGCCCTGCACCTGCTCTGGGCCAGAGTGAGAGGGCATAGGGTGCTGTGGCAGTGTGGAAGAAGGACGCCTCTCCCACCCTGGCGTCCCAGAGGAGCTTTGAAGGAGGGGTGGGCATATGAAGTGGTGGGAGCAGCGTGTTGGGTCGCTTGCAGGTGGGGGGAGGGCAGTGTGTAGCACACTCTGCCAACAGTGTGACAGGGTCTCGGAGTGTGACCTGCACGGTTGCAAAGAGGTGCGCCCGGGACCTGGAGCAGCCTGGCCTGTCATCTCACAGGTGCCAGGAAGCCACCTGACTTTAAGTAGAATTGATAAGTTCAATTTGTGCCTCCCTACCTTATAACCCTCTCCTCCACCCCGCCCATGTTGGTGAGATCAAGTTCCCAACTATGGCTTGGACAGCACTGCCTTCATAGCTCTAGAGCCTCAGTCTAGCTTCTGCTTGAGGCAAGGGAGGCAGGGAGCCAAGTTTCTCCTTTGGTTGACAGCGGACACCACCTTGTCACAGTTGTGGCTTTTCTTTGGCTTGCATCACAATACAGATGCAGGGTCTCTGGGACACTGCTGGAGAAGAGGCTAGAAAGAAAGGAGGTGGAGACTGGGGCACCTGGGTGGCTCAGTCAGTGAAACATCTGACTCTTGGTTTCGGCTCAGGTCGTCATCTCACAATTCATGAGTTTGAGCCCCTCATCGGGCTCTGTGCTGATAGCCTGGAGCTTGCTTGGGATTCTCTCTCTCTCCCTCTCTCTTTGCCCCTCCCCTACTCACACTGTCTCTATATCTCTCAAAATAAATAAACTTGAAGAAGAAGGAGGAAGAGGAGGAGGAGGAGGAGGGGGAGGAGAAGGAGAGGGAGAAGAAGGAGGAGAAGAAGAAGAAGGAAAAGAAGGAGGAGGAGGAGGGG